CGTGGCCATAAGTGGAAATTAGCGGGAGAACATTTTAAAACAAATTTGAGGAAGCACTTCTTTACACAGCGTGTAGTTAGAGTATGGAATAGTCTTCCTGCTAGTGTAGTGGAAGCTGGGTTCCTTTAAATCAGAGCTAGATAAGATTTTAACAACTCTGAGCTATTAGTTAAGTTCTCCCCAAATGAGCTTGATGGGCCGAATGACCTCCTCTTGTTTGTAAATTTCTTATGTTCTTATGTTAACACCTCTGGGACATTATGTTTCGGTCCATCCGACGCGGCCAGGTTGCACCTCAGACTGTCCAGGAGCTCAGTGATGCCATGGTCCAGATGTGGGAGGAGATCCCCCGGGACACCATCCATCATCTCATTAGGAGGATGCCCTGACATTGTTAGGCATGCATACAAGCTACATGGGGGCCATAAAAAAACTACTGAGTACGATTTTGAGTTGCTGCAATGAATTTTCAGCAAAATGGACTAGCCTGCTGCATCATTTTTTCACTTAGATTTTTGGGGTGCCTTTGAATTCAGCCCTCTGTAGGTTTGTAATTTTCATTTCCATCACACGATGTGGCATCCATTCACTCTTAACACATCACCCAGTTCATATCAGTATAGATATCCAGCAGGATTTTTTCCCCATTGAAATCTGATGTGTTTCCAAAGTGTTCCTTTAATTTTTTTGAGCAGTAACAACCTTTAAATTAAACTTTTCAAATAACCAAATTAACAATTACTTACCCGAGACTAACTTCCTGCTGAACCACGTTTAACTAAACTAAAGCGAAGTTGCTCTAGGAAGGCCGAAAAACCACAAAAAACCCTCTCAAAGCTGGTTACTGCCAGAGTGGGGAAAAAAGTGGAAAATATCCTCCCGGCCCCGACTGGCGACTGAGCAAAGCTCAGGAGCAACTGTCCTTTCAGAGTTAATGTTACCGGCGTTAGATAATATTACCCCGCGGGTGTTTGATGCGAAGGTATGCAGACAGAAAAACTGCTCACGCAACACCTGCAGCTATCGATAACACTCGCTGTCAATTAACAAGGACAGACAAGTACTCACATAGACCAAGGAAAAAAATAAAAGTTAAAAATTAAACAACAACCACCCACTTAACCGTACTGGCACACAAACACTCAAATATACTTCCAGATAACCGCTTCAACAGGCGCACAACACAACACAAGTGCACACAGCGTCTACACCACTCCCACACAGTGCAGCAATCCCAGCAGCCTCTACCAAAAACTGAGCAAAAAAAAAAAGTGAAACTTTTTGTGATGTCAAAAGTAATATTAAAATCTGTTTTTTGACAATGTAATTTCAAATCACAAGGTTTCAAAAAAAGTTAGTTTGTTGTAAACTGAGAGTACTTCATAATTGCTGTGTGAAAATTAAAAGGGTTCCAACAAAAAAAAGATAGAATAAAAGATAAAAAAAATTTTTTGATAATCTGTCCAAGAACCACAGTGCTCCTATGCATTTAAATGAAAGTGTCCGAAATCCCTTGAACATCCATCTCCAGAGTATTCAAGGAAAAAACACCCAACAGAAACACTTGGTAATTGAAAACACCCATCTTTGTAAAGAGACATGAATAATACAGGTCGTCGTTGACTTATGACCGTAATCTGTTTCGGCTGACTGTTGTTTTTAAATCACCATTTAAGCTGCAATGACATAAACAGATACGACTGTATGTGAACAATAGCCTGAGCACAAGATGAATGAATGGGTGTCTCGCGGGGATGTTCTCAGTGCCAGCAGTTGGGCCGGAAACTGTCGTATACTTACCCTGGGCGACACTCACACTGCCAGATGCAGTGCAGTCGTGGCCACATAAAGTCGATCAGTCATAAGTTGCGTTGGTTGTAAGTAAACAACAACCTGTAGTATTTTTCATTGATGTAGTGTTTAACCACGCTGCATAACTATTTGCAAAAAAAATAGTTTGTTACAAGCCAGGCTTGAGCCCACAAAACAAGGGAACAAAATCTAAGCTGCACAATCAGCCCACTGACCTATGTGGCACCTATGTGGAGAATAGAGAAAATACACTAGGGACTAGACACACTGGGCCTGAAGGGCAAGAAACAGGGAGGAGGACATGATGGCCAGCAACATCTGCTGGCAAAATGAGAAGGGAACACAGAGGGCAGGGTGGGGCAGACACCGACCCTGACACACAGCATTGTCGGCAAAGGCAAGATCAGTAAATCATTGGTAAATGGACTGCATTTATATAGTGCTTTTTACTACTCTTACGAGTACCAAAGCACTTTACAATCTATGCCTCACATTCACACCACACATTCACACATCGATGGTGGAGGCTGCCATGCAAGGCTCCAACCAGCTCACCGGGAGCAATTTGGGGTTCAGTGTCTTGCTCAAGGACACTTTGATAGGGTCAGGAGGACCCAGGGCTCAAACCTGCAACCCTCTGGTTGCTGAATGGTAGCACTAACTCCTGCACCACCATCACCCACCAACAGATGCCCCCCAACCGCTGGACCCCATGACCCTGTCCAACACCCAGGACATGCAAGCATCAAACACAGTAGGAGTAAGAACATACCCCTGGCAAACCCCAAAATCAACTGGGAAGAACACGGAGGTTCTCCCTCCGATCTACACTAACAGTACCAATGTTCAGGCCAGCTATGACATCCAGCAACTTCAGGGTGATCCCACAAAGCCCCACAATGTCCCACAGGGCAAATCAATTGAGTGAAACGCTTTACGAAAATCCAGAAAGGCTGCAAAGAACCTCTGCTGATATTCTCGCTTGTGCTCAATGGGAACCTTCAGGGCCAGGATGTGGTCGATGGTAGACTTCTTAGGCATAAAACCAGACTGCTCCAGTCACTGGTACTGTAGGTGAGCAAGTGATCACGGATCCTGTAAAGAATGACCTTACCCGGCACTGAGAGCAGTATTATTCCCTTGTAGTTGTTGCATCCAGGTGATCACCCTTCCTTTCCAGATTCATGTTAAACAGATTACAAGTCTTGTTTTCCAGTTAGTTGGGATGATGCCTGTCTCCCAAATGGAAGCAAAGATTTCCCACAATTCCAGGAGAACAGCCTTACCGCCAGCCTGGAGAAGTCCACCGTGGATACCACAGATCCTTGTGGCCTTCTATATGTGCAATCTCAATGAGATTGGATGGTTCACAGCTGATCGGAGGATCAGCCTCAAGAACTGTGGACCCAGAGGTGTCCAACACCCTAGCCGGAGGATCAGCTTTAAACAACTGTTCAACGTAGCCGGCCAAGCAGCAGTGTTATCCGTAACCTCCGTTCCATCACCTGCCCTGACTGCAAGTCTCTGACGAACAGATTCCGATGTACATGATGCTTTGATTCCTCTGTAAGCAGGATGTGGGTCAACAGACCACAGATGGTGTGCCACCTGCTCACTGATTCGCCTAACAAACACCTCCTTATCTACCTTCATAGCTGTCCTCTTCAGTTCCCGGTACAGACTGTAGTTGCCTCTTTTGCACAGTCATGCATTGCGATTCTTCTCAATAATATCCAGAGTGCACTGCGAGATGAATCCTTCTGTGAACACTGGTAACACCAACACAACCCTTGACAACTTTAGGGGTCTTATCATGGAAGGTCTCCCACTTCACATTAGGGTTGGCAGTCACACTCAAGTCTGCAAGTTCCTCACACAACCTGCATGCAAAGTCATCAGAAACAGCTTGATCTTGGAGTCTGGCCAAGTTCAGCCTCATTCTCCTAGTAGGTGGTAGCCTACTCGACCTAAGCTGAATCTTTAGAGTAGCAACAACAAGTCTGTGGTTAGAACTCACAAACTGGGCACTTCTGTAGACCCTGAAGTTCTGCACGAGCCTCCAATGTCTGCTCACGAGGATGTGATCGATCTCCTTCACCACACCACCAGCATTGGAGTAAAAAATCCAATGATGCAGCTCAGGGGGTTGGAACCAGGATCCAGTGACACACAACCCCTGACCTTTTGCAAAGTCAAGGAACATGGAGCTACTCTCAAGCCGGTCACCAGACCCATGGGGATGGACGCAATACTCATAGGCAGCCCTGTCAGTGCCAGTGGGCACACTGAAGTCACCCATGACCAGAAGAGTGTCATCTTGTGGGCACCCATCAACCACCGAGCAAAGTTGTGAGTAAAATGTCTCCCTTAACGAGACATCACTCACCGTGGTTGGAGCATACACTGAGACAACAGACAAGACACCCAAGGAGTGCCTTCACTTAGGTCTCATAATACACTCTTTGAAAGGATTGACATCAGAATCGTCAGGAGGAGCAGATCCACCACAGCAACAGCTACACCCTGAGTATGGTAGCCATCAGAGCGACCAGACCAAAAGCAAGTGCACCTACCTTCAGAGGTCTGGCCACTGTCCACGCTCTGTACCTCAGAGAGAGCCACCACCGAAATGCAGAGTTTTTGAAGCTCCCCTGACCGCAAAGGAAGATGGTCGTCTTGCCAGAGAGACAAGACCTTCCTTGGGCCTACTCAGATGGGTTGTGTCAAACTGGGACCAAGTGCTGATATGCAGCGGGCAACATCTCAACACTACACCAGCCCTGATCCCCAACAGGCCTGACCCTATTAGCTCTCTGACAGTTAAAGGTACATGACCCGGTACATGACTAAAATGTGTATTTTAACTAGCATATTATTGATTTACCATAAGGAAAATATATTTAAAGAATAAATGGCAAATACTGTCACAAGACAATGCAAAAAGAATAAGGATTTTAAGGTTTTTAAGGTTTTTAATTATATTTCATGGTGAAGTGTAGCATTAGTGAGCAGGGATAGGTGACATACTCTATTTTTCCTTAATGTTTTACATTATGTATGTTTGATTTGCAATGAGGACATTGTGGATGATACTTTGCTTAAGAATAACATGTATAAAAGAGCAACTTTTCATGCATATATATGTATTATAATGTCCTGGGGACAGAAATTGCACGGGTTTGGTGAAATGGTCCACCTACTGTACTTAATACTAGCCTAGTTAAACGTGTGGAGAGAGTGTTATCTGAAGGCTGGTTCATATTTCCCACACGTGTACTAGCGGATGTGTCTGCTCAAACGTTTATGACTAGTTTGATGTCACTGTGCATCTCCGCGAACAAGCACCTGCTGCACTCCAAATTTGTGTCCATGCAGTGATGTATGCTCTGGATACACTGCGCATGATCGATTTGCTACATTAAATATGAACATGGATGTTTTTGATGAACATTGGGGTAGTTTGCAAACCCTACAGACCATTTACAAGGTAATAAAACTGTTACATGCATGCAAATGCGTGTGTATGTGAGGACAGACTTGTCGCGAAGTAAAAGTCTCATTCCAGCCAGTTGGCAAGCCTTTGAGCTGGCCCTCTGAATTTGTAAAACTTAGAGAAACAGACACAAACCTCACTGTTGTGGTATATGTGCAGAAAATATCAGAATAATTTATACGATTATAATTAATAATTATAATAATAATAGAAATACAACACGTACGCATGTGCAAAGTATGCGGCTTGACTGGAGAACATTTCCGTCTGCATACGCAGAGTGGATGAGCGAATGTTGCACTTGTGCGGAGAAGTTTGAACCAGCTTTAAGTCTGCCAACCTTGTAAATGGCATGCAGGGAAGTTGTTAGTGCTCGTTTCAGGTTAGTATACAAACACTTTAAGTACTGCATTCACATACATTTGCACACATTTTATTTTAAATAAAAGGCAGAAAGAACAGAATTATTAAAATAGATTATGGCATTCCTAATCTGTCATAATGTATATTACATAAGGCATGTTAAACTACTATACGCACAATGGCATACATCCTAAAACTGCCAATAAGTCATTACGATACGATACGAGATTTTTATTTGCCATTTGTGCATAAAACCAACATTACAGGCACATTGGAATTCTTGTGCAGAGCTCTCTCAGAATCCAGTTGTTAGAAATACATTTACAGAAAAAAAGTAATAGTTTTTTAAAAAAATAAATACAAGTACTAATCATGAAAGAACTATGAAAAAAAAAATTAAATATTAGCCACATATCATTGACCATGTTGAAGACATTTGGGAGTAAACTAGTCTAATACATTCTGTAAGCTGTGCAGAGAATGTGGCTAATATGAAACCAGCTTTTCTGGTGTATCATGCTACTTAAACACAAAGTACAGCCACTTCATGTTGGTACATGCCACACCCATCCAAGTAGGACAGTGGTCCTCTCGCAATCTCTCAGTCCCCATGATTATCTGCTGTTGCATCTTTGGAGATTCAGGGAAATTGGCTTGGCCAGTGCCTCCTCCTGGTCACTGTCTGCCTTCTGGGGGGGAGAAACAGAGCTGAGTCTCAGGGAATCCTGTCTGTCATCTAGCTCACATACATCCATCCATTTTTAAAGGGACCTATTATGCTTTTCTCGATTTTCCCCTTCCTTTAGTTTGTTATATTGCTGTATGCGCAATATAACACTCTGCAAAGTACACACCAAAGGGAATAACTGTTCTATAATCTGCCTGAAACATCTCAGTGGAATTCCTGCCCTTACTTCCATGACATGTTAGGTCACCTCATAATACAATCTTTATTGGTCACCTACCTGCAAGCTTGGCACACCCTCATACAACCCACAGCCTGTGCAGCAAGTTTTTCAGACAGGGGCAGAACGTGTAGGGCAAGCTGACCAATCAGAGCACAGTAGGCTCACCAAGGGTGGGATTTACAGCTCCAACAGGGCATTTCAGACAGAGTTATAGACAGAGTGGCAGTATGAGAAACATAATGTGTTTTGGAACATTGAATCGTGTAAATCTATTCTAGTAGGCCCCAAAAATAAAACATGAACAAAGAAAAGCATAATATGGCTCTTTTAATGACAAATAATCCAGTTCCCCAAAGGCCCACTCTGAGAAGCGCAGGACATTAAGGTAGGGTGTAACCTTGAGTGAATGTCGGTCCACATATCGCACATCAAGGTCTTAAAGAGAACCAATGAACTTGTGGCCAGAACAGTACACACTAAATCACCTTGGAACCCTGGTTCACACATGGAACCCGAAGCCCTTTTAGATGGGATTAGTTTTACCTGAGGAGGTTCAGTATATAAGACTGAATTAATTGGCTGATTCAGATGGGATAAGAAATGCGTGTAATTAACCCAAATTGCCAGAGATAGCAGAGATAACATGAACGGATGGGATTTGTTTTAACATCAGTTGACTCGAATAGAACACAAATTACAACAGAATTTTAATTTTTGGTAGACCTATCCACTTAACATACTAATAAACCACAATAAAAACAGAACTTTTTCCTCCCAACCATACAGTAGTTTACAAATGAGTATACCCAGCACTTGATTACTTGCTGACTGCTTTATCCTCTTTTTTTCTTCCAGGGTGTGACAGGGTGTTTTAGTAAGGGAAAAACAAATTTTCATTGATTTCTGTAGTCCTTGCAGTTACCATTTCCTGACCGTAATGGTCAGCTAGCTAAGTAAGAAGCACAAGTGAAAATTCAAATTCGCTGCCAATAAAAGTGGGGGGTGTCAGGGGTGCAGCTATTAGAGAGCAGCTGCAGGTCACCTACTTGTCAAAAAGTGAAGGATTTTCATAGACTCATTTGGCAAGTAACCTGCACCCAGGAAGTATCAGACAGAAATTAACCAAGGATTGGAATCAATTCTTAATGAATGCTGACAGACTACCAGGTGCATTGTATGAGTAAACAAATTCTATTTTAGAATTATTTCACATTATCTAATTCATTTATGTTGTACATGTCTTCAAATATTCTATTCTTCAATAGAATTTTTATTCTGGAGGCTTGTAATAATTACAGACAGGGCAGATTTGGACTGGATTAAAATTACGGACATAGTTGATAATTGCTTTAATTCTCCCAGAAAAAAACTAACCCTGTCCAAATAGGACTCAACACTTATTTTTCACTTATTCTTTCATGTTATTCTGTTCCAACCACTCACTGAGAGGGATTCTGAGAAGACAAAGTATTTCAGATGAGATGACTTTTAGGAATGATTCTGCACAAACAGTCTAGAGTTCAGACTGCCATCTCCTCCTGCAACAAATTCTCACCTGCTCCCAGTATCCCTGGGCTGCCTTCTGGCGTAACGAATGTAGCTGGTTTAGGCGGTAACATATCAACACCATGTTATAGGACAGCTGTACAGGAAGAAAACAAATGAAAAGAGACAGATGTATGAATAGGCAGTTGTATATGAATGGTATCTGAAACACTAGAAATTTGTATATGTGACATTAAGTCTTAAGCAGACAAAGAAAATGATGTTCAAATGACGTGCTCGTATAAAACTGACATTATGTCTGTAAAAGTGTGTCAGCTTCCATTTTCAGACTTCTCCTACAGTCATCCCAATATTTAGAGTAACTGTCCAATATATGCATGTATTTTTAGACTCGATCACTACCCCACCTCATATGGGTAATTAATGCTTCATTGACTCTTTAAACTAATTAAATTAATGAATTGAGCTGATGGTGAAATTTAATGAATACATGTAATGGCTGGGGTGCCCCTGAGGACTGGTTTGGGAGCTAAAGCGGTGTTCTGCTAGCCATCCAACTAGATATCAGTAACTTTTTGGAGAACAAAGGATATACTTGTTAGTTTCTGTTGTGCCACTCCTAATTTTCCTATGTTCATATGTAGTGTTAAATTGTGTTTTTTATTCTGAGCACATATTCCCTTGCTATTCAGATTAACAGCTTTAAACATTTCCTTTGACTACCTAAGACAGGAGTGTCAGTCTTATATAGAAAGGGCTGTTGTGTATGTTGGTTTTTGCTGCAACTCCACAATTAGATAACTAATTACAGGACTGATTGGCCGAAAAGCCCTCACACCTGAGTTTGAGCAGCTGACCTAAAGGTTATTCCAAAAACCTGCATGCACACTGGCCCTTGGTGGATAAGATTGGCCACCCCTGGCCTAAGACTTTTGCACAGCATTGTATGTGTCACACTGCATTATACAAAATGTCACTAGTTGGCAAAATTCTACCTAATCATTTGGCTTCACCTCTGTAGTTAGGTTCATGAAGCAAGTACAGTGGTACCTCAGTTCTCGAACTCATTAGAACTCGAATTTCTTAAAAGTCGAATCAACCAGTTCGAAAAAAAATTACCTAGAGCTTGATCTGAATCTCAGAAGTCAAACCGTGAACACCGACCTAAGATAACTTGTACACACAGGGAATTGAGTCACGCGGCACGTCTCTGCGCAAACAAAGGGTAACGCTTCAGTCTCAGCTTTGCATTCGCTGTGATAGCATCGTGCATGTTTACTAGGGCTGCCCCCAAATAGTCGACTAAACGTTAGTCGATATGAAGAGGGCTTGGTCGAATACATTTTCATTAGTCGGTTAGTCGCAAAAAAATTCACGTGAAATTAGGCAATCAGGGGCTGCGCAGTCAGTGTATGACATCAAAGCAATGAGAGATCAACGCGATCTCGTGCCTCGCGGTATACCAAAGTGCACTTGTGGGAGAGGTGTCTGGCTGATGCTAATAATTATGTCAGGAAAAAACTCCAAAGTGTGGGATTATTAATTTTGAAAATTAATATAATTTTTATATTGTTCAAAAGGAAAATTAACAAAAACGAACAATTTAATAAATGCACATGGCACATCGCACAACACCAAAACTTAGAATAAAAAAGAAGGCAAACAAATTAACAGCCTAAGTATTTGATTAAATTGTTTAGAACAACTATATTTAAGACAAAATGTGGAACAAATAATTTAAAGAACACTAATACAAATCAAAAATATCAGAGCAAAGCCGCAAACTGCCATTAAGACGACGGATGAGTCTTGACCTGAAACAACAAATTGCAAACATTAGACTAATTTTTCTAACAGAATAAAAAACAACTTCTGCATTATATAAAAACAAATAAATAAAATAATATGTAGCCTATTTATTTATTTGTATAGCCTACCCGTTATAAAAATACCCTTTTTTTTTATAGCCTAACGGATAGCAAACAGAAACACTACAAAAAGGAAATTAAGCATTCTTACCTAAGCTTTCAATTCGATTTTATTTTTTTCATATTATGTGAGAGGAACACCAGCTTGTCCACATTGTTGGGAAGAAGGGAGCTTCTCGACTTGTTCACAATGAAGCTGGCCTTTGAAAAGATGCGCTCTGATGGAGTGGATGTGGAAGGGATACAGTGGAGGCGTTTAGCTGCTTTAGCGAGCTTTGGATATCGATGTTCATTTTTTTGCCACCATGCCAATGGTCCCGAATCAACCTTTGTTTTATCTGCCAAGTACATTTTTAGTTCATCCTTCTCTTCTGCATGCTCCTCCTCATCAATGGCCATCAGCATGGATATCTCGGCCTGCTTTTCCTTTTTCGGTTTGGGCTCACCCTCCTCTGCAGGGCTAATGCTGTCATGATCACTTTCTGGCGCAGCTTCTGTAGATAAACTTTCTGCCAGATCCGACACTGTGGAGTACGAATCTTCTCGTTCGTGTTGGTCAAAGAATGACAAGCTCTTAAAACGTGGGTCTAAGACAGCAGCTCGTATATAAATGCTGGTCGCGATATTTTCCGTCAGTTGCCATCTCGTGTCAATTTCTTTTGCTAGTTCTGTCTTCTAAACTAACTAAATTTTAGTTTATTTTATTCAAAACTGGTTTTTTTTTTTTGTTTGTTTGTTTGACATGTAACTGTTACAGTTTGTATTTTTGATAATAAATTATTAAAATGCACAGGCAGTCTGATTGCTGTTTTTATGTTATAATTAGCATATAACATTCCGGCCACTGATTTTTGTGTCCGTAAGCGCTGTATACTTTAAACGCTTTACTATTCTGTTTTAAGCGCTTAATTTTCATTTTGAACGCGCTAATATCATGCTTTAGCATTTTCTGTCATATGGAAATGTTAAACTTCAACTTGGACTGTACCTTTCCTTGTATATACGCAAGTTATTATATTAATATCATAAATTAACGATTATTCGACTAAATCGCTAAAATGCAGGAGTGTTAGTCGACTAGGAATATCTCTAGTCGGGGGCAGCCCTAATGTTTACACTAGCTGAATACATATTTGTAAACAGTAAAAATACATTTAGACAATGAAAGACAGTAACAGTAATTATTATATAATAAAATAAAGATTTCTTATTATTTTAATATTAACAATAAACCATTAATACTTTTAATTATAATAATATTGTCCTGCCGAGCGGGGACAGAACGTAGACAAAGACGCAGACATCAGGGTATCTGGGAATATGGGGTTTAATTACAGGTAAGGCAGGAAAAACGCAGACGGACAATACAATGACCAGACAGGGGAAACAAACTGAAACGCAGACTAAATACAGAGGACTAATGACAACAACCAGAAACAGCTGATCACACGGGGATTCCACATGGGGTTAACGAGGGGGCGTGGCACACGGAAAGCGCGGACGATCGGGGCAGGACATATTAAGAACATAAGAACTATACAAACGAGAGGAGGCCATTCGGCCCATCGAGCTCGCTTGGGGAACTCTTTCACTGTCACCGCCTAGTGGTTCGGACGCATATGTCCAAATTTTCAATAACAAAAAAAAATGACGTTCAATAAAAGAAACAAATGTATCAAATCAACCAAAAACGGCTTGTTACACTACAAAAAA